TGTAAAACACAGTGCCATGCATCACTCTGAAAAATGCAGTGCATGTATTAATTAAACCACAACCTTTGCGATTAGATAAAACCAAAATTGTGATGTGTGCCAAAATTCGCTTAATCGTGCCACAAACAAACTCTGAATATTAGTCGATGACGCTACCCAGACAAGCTTTGGCAAATCCAGTAATGTGTTTTGTTTTTTCTCAGAAGTGCGTAGTGAATTTACCCACAACTATTAATAAACAACCCTGATATGCGCTTGCTTCAGGAAATTGCGTAAATAAAGCTAATCTGATTAGATTTTGCAAGAAAATGCACTTTCCATTTTGGTGAAAAATATGCATCAGACATTTAGCAAACGGACTGTGGGTGCCTTGCAGTGGTGGAATGTAACGAAGTACAAATACTTCGTTACTTTACTTAAGTACATTTTTCACGTATCTGTACTTTACTTAAGTAGAATCAATAGTGCATACTTTTTTACTTTTACTTCGTAACATTTTACAGCAATTATTATACTTTCTACTCCACTACATTTCTACAACATTCTGTTACATTTTCGTTAAATTTTCTGATCAGTTTTTCCCCTGCCAAAACGTCATCCTGACCGTCCGTTCATCGCACGTTTCTGTCTCACCAGTGAAGTTTGGTTGCCATAGATATATCAACCCGGTCACACTAAATGCGTCTCTAGCACGCAGTGTGTTTAGCGTGCAATTTATACGCGAAAATTTGTTTTTACATGCATAGGAAACGCATTGGTAGGTTTAGTAGTGATGTGGGGTGCGTGTGTATTATACGTTTGGTTAGGATTAGTATGGCAAGCCAAGAGGTTCAGAATTACGCCAAATGAATCGCGTTTACAGCCAAACGCCGTCATATACGGCGTTTTAACATAATATGTGTGTTTATACTGTATATATATATATATATATATATATATATATATATATATATATATATATATATATATATATATTGTATATAGTAAGGGCATATAGTAAGCTTGATGTGTATATTGCCTAATTGCAAGCTTGTTCAGAAATGGTGACAAAAACTTAAAATATAACTGCTTTTCCATCATATTGAACGTCATTATATGAGTATTAGGTTGAATGAGTTAGAATTAACTGTTTTATTAATCATTAGAATATAGACATTAAGAGAATAAATTGTTATGCAAGTACTTTTACTTTTAATACTTAAAGTACATTTGAAATCAGGTACTTTTTACTTTTTACTTAAGTAGGGTTGTCATTGTGGTACTTCTACTTTTACTAAAGTAAATATGTCTCTGGTTATTTGTACTTTTACTTAAGTACTGAGATTCAGTACTTCCTCCACCACTGGTGCCTTGTAGGCGTTTCGTCTGAGACTAGGATGGTAGATGCATGTAGAGCTGAAAAAAAGGAAACAGCCGAGAGATTGAGCAGCATCTTGTATGATAACGGTGGTAATGTTGACCAAAGCAGAACTATCTCTGTCATTTATCACTTGGTTGTTTCCAGTTATCAGCAAACTAGCGTTAACAGACCAGCATTTCTCAAACAAAACGCTATGAGGAAGTTGTTAAACACCAATGGCATATATTATAGTTAGTTTGAACGCATAGATGAATGTTCGGGAAAATAAGATGTAGATTACATGAGCGGGAGACAGACTTATCGGGGGCACTGGCAGATCTGCTCTTGGCTGCGCTGAGGATTTGCTGGCTCTCTGGCTCGTCCTTGAGTATATTTGGAGGGCACACTAGGTTGGCACAGCTGATGGGAAAATGTTTAGACAAGACAAGCTGGATTTAATAGACAGGCTAAAGAGGCTGTGGAGAAGTATAACCTGATCAAAACTGCCCTGAGCCTAGATGAAAATGTAAGGAAAATCAATGCGAGCCCAATAGATATTCATGAATTTATTAATTATATGAATTTTTATTAAAATTCTCATATTCATTAATTGTTGTCCATTTAACTAAAATGGCATCTAATTTTAATAGACCAAAAAAAAAAATCACCCCAATCAGTAAACCAAATTTCAAAACTTTAACTTAGGGGCTGTTTACACGACACCGTTTTCAATAATAACGGTGACGTCATGCGCCTGTGTATTACGTGTTCAGTCTATAGGCGCGTAGTGTTTCTTTACAAAGCGACATCGCCAACTACAGGCCTAGCATTAAAAGTGTTTTTAGTCGTTTTCATGGATCCATGTGAATGGGGATCGTTTTGAAAACGTTGTTTGAAATTGTTGTCTGTATGCATTTTCCACATGATCGGACCGGTGACCGTCTCATGGCGTCTCACACCGTCTTACACCAAAAGCGGGCGCACCACTGATCTATATCAGTAGTAGAGCGCACAAGCACAAAATAAAATAAAAATTTGCATTGAATAAAAACATATTTTTGTTTGTATATGCCGTCAATTATAGTTGATTGACAGAAAATCTGAATCGACAAAAATCAGTATTGGCAGGTCACACTTACAAAAAAAATCTGACATTGGAATCAACCAAGAAAATTGCAATTGGTGCATCTCTACATTTTTAATTGTTTGACCTCATCATTTTTTATCAAAATGTCATAGCTCAATCATCCATTGAAACGACAGGCTTTCTCTAGTGATGCATGCCAGACTTCTCCAATCATTTAGTCTGCTTAAATCCCATCTACTTACAATTTGACTGAAAGCTTGAATTCAGACCCGCCTCCACCCAATCAACAACTGATCCATTGAACCAAGACCCCATTATACATTTTGCCCTTTTTCGTTAATCCAGTACACTTGAATGTAAGTCACAATACGAAAGAAATTATAAGCTACCTCTGTAACATCAAAACTTTTCAATAGTTCAATGGACTGTCTTAAACTCCAGCCAGAAGAAGAAAAATCCGGCACAATATAAACAACAGTATTTCCCGATGGCACCTGGCCCCTTAATAACGGCAATAAACTAATAATATACACAAAATCTACTATAGCATATTATTACTATCATAATCATAGCAATAAAACAATAATATATAAATATGGAAGGATAGGACATTGCTCCACGGGGAAATCTAGTGATATTTAGTGCAGCTATGAAGCAAGAGAGAGGAAGCCCTTGAGTACAAGTACAAATGTTATTAGAATCGTGATGATAGAAGAGATGGTTAGAAAGCATCCACTTTTAATGATTTTGAAACGATTTGTCTCATCTAAATAACTAACATCACCAAATGTCTTCATGAGACGGTTCAGTCACCATTATCCTGAGAAACAATACATCACCATGGAAACGCCTTCCTCTGCGCCCACTACCGCTCTGCCACCATAGGTGCCAAAGCTGGAAGAATCTGGGCTCTTTGTGTGCCCTGTGATACTTGTGATTATGTAACCGTAAAGGGCATCAGTCTCCCACTGACCCTTTCAGAGAAACTGGCATCACCACAGAAACCAGTGAGAATGAAAAGAGAACGGTGCCTAAACCCAACCAAAACAAATCTGTTCCAAATCCCAAACCTTCTTCACAGCCTTCTTGAAAACTACTAATAATACACCCTTCAGGAGACTCTTCTGTGAAGGCTGAATCATGAGGACAAATATTCTAGCTTTGAAGCAACTATGATGGAAAAGATAACTGATAACAGAAAAGTAGTGGTCGACAGAAATATCGGCTGTTATTGTGCTTTTTTAAAAATTATCAGCATCAGGCGATAATGTTTCGGAAGCGGGACTTTTATTTTGACGGTGCACCAGACTTTTATTTTGACAGCGCTGAGCTAACACGTTATTTGATCAAACTGTTAAACAAAGAAAGTAAATATACAAATATGTGGAGAGAAAAAAAATAAGATGTACGCAATTGGATTTGCTTTTATATTATTAGTAATAGAAAGGCAAAAACTATAATACCTACTCATCTACCATCAGCATTCAACAAATACACAATTATATTATTTAAGCAAGTCGTTGAATATCTAATAAACATTTATTTTCACAAATCTTGCAGACTTAGTCGAATCCAGCTTCCATTTGTGGACTGTATAAAAACAGGTGCACTCTGTATGTAACGGTTGGTAATGCATATGAATAAAAAGGAAGAAAACAAATTTCTTTGTCTGTGAAAAATACTGTAGCTGATAACTTAATTCTGTATTCCTATTAAAGTATAAGTCTGTTTATTTTACAGATTTATTTAATTCATTTTAATGTAAAATAAATATAAATGTATTTTCAGCTATTGTTATGCATGTGTTTTTACTATATTTAAATTAGTACGAGATTATATCGGCTTTATATACCGTGCTCTCTAAGATATCAGCATATCAATATATTGATATCGGTGAAAAGATAATCAATAAAAACAAATACAAGGTTGAAAATGTGGAGAGAAAAAATGTCAAAAGGAAATATTAGGCCATTGACAATTTCCCATTTTGAAAAGTAATATTTCTGACAGATGAACCACTATTAAATCTCCGTATTTTACTGATAAGATGATAATTATTCCCATTATATTTTTATGAAAGACAACAGATAAAAGGCTGACACAAATTTTCTACAGTATTCTGTATTCATTTAGGCAACACAATATTATAATGTACAGTATGGAAAACACATTAAGTATAAGATTTGGCTGACTTATTAAATCCGTTTTTTTAAGGATAAAAAAAAAAAAAAAAGTGCATACGCAATATCCAATCAATACAACCAAAAAAAAAAAAAAACTAACAATGCCCAGTAACCAACATTGTACAGCAATATGATAAATCATTTTATACAGCATCTTAAAAGCAAGCATCTCAATGTACTTTACACACACACACACAAAATCAGGAGTAACATAAAAAAAATAAACTCAAAAACTTTCTTAAAATAATGTGAGATTTAAATAAATACTATAAATCCATATCAATAAGCCACTTGCATATATTCGGAGTATTATTTGCAGGTAATGTCTATGGTAATAATGATTAAGGACGTTCTAGAGGGGTTTACCCAAGTTAAAAATCTCGTCACTCACCAATCTCCTTGCCGAGTCCCGAGTGGAGCATGGCTCCGGCAGAGGTGACCACAGCGCAGGTCTGGAATCCTGACCCATAAAGCTGGCTTAAGGGTAATGCAGGTACAATTTTCTGCCAGCCTAAAATGGAGAAAGGCTTCTCGGCCCCATCCAAAGTTCGAACCTTCTGCCTCTTTTTCAGCTCGCACAGCACCTGTTGGCCGTTCTGTTGTGCCTTCCGGTGCCCCCTGTAGGCCACGCCGTGTTTATTATTATTCAGGTAGTCTTTCACAGCCCTCTGCAGGCGTGGACTGAGCATGCCTACGGACAAACTCCCTTTCCACAGACCGTGCACTACAGATTTTGATCTGGGAACGTAGTATTCGTCCTGGTCAGAGTCCTCGGAACGCCTTGTCGCCCGTTTAGTCGCCCTCCTCCTGCCCTCGTCTCGCTCTTCTTCATCTTCCTCTTCCCCTCCCAACACCTCCTCCTCATCTTCATCCTGTTGAGTTGAATCCTGGTTGTACTCTTGCCGCTCGCGGTTGCGACTCGCGGCGGCCGATCTCGAGCCCACATCTTGGGTGCCGAATGCGGACCAGGCCGCCAGGCTCTGAAGGTCAGGATAAGGGTAGGCTTCCTGGCTGAGCGGACTAGGTTGGGGGTCGGCACTGGGGTTTTCCTCTTGGCTTTGCTCCTGTTGGGTGTTGCTGGAGGCGGAGGGGGTGGAGGAGGTGGCCAGGCCTAAATGGGTGGTCATAATGGTGCGGGGGTTGCCCTGCAGTGAGGTCAGGCGGCGAGTGTCTGTGTAGGAGAGAGCGGCAGCGGAGTGCGGGTCGTCCACTCGTGATTCCATGAAGTAGGAGAGGAGCCCCAGGAACACCAGCACCCAGACCAGCATGAGGCCGAGGGTGAGCCGCCGCCACTGTTTCAGACTGGACTTCATCTTCTAGCGTTCCTCACGGCCGCACGCCGCTGCACTCCAGACCCAACTGGAGAAGGGTCAGCAGGAGGCCTACAACAGGACAGGACATTCTTATTAAAAATATATATATATATATATATGGCATTCTATAACCAAACTCAACCTGTACATTTCCAGGACTCAACCTCATTCTCTGACAAAGTGCACTGAACGGAACCGGGATGTACAACTAGTTGTCCATCACATCATACAGTGTGAGAAAGCAGCTGAGCACAGCACAAACGCGTGTCTACCATGTGTTGCGGGTTTTCATGTGTGGTTTCGCTGCACGTTCATAGAGACCGTATTCGAGACGCTACTGTAAGTTGCCGTGTTAACAGGACATTTCAAGACTCCCACCACCATAAATGCGATTGTCAATCTTAAAAACTGACGCTGTGCGATTACATTAACCGTCGTGTGTTGCCACCTACTGGAGGTACTAGGTCACAACACACTTCAGTTGACTTCAGTAGTGTGGAGAAGCATAATTACAAAAAGACAATGAAAAACTCCAGTGAAGTTGGAAAATGTCTGATTTTCAGGTGAGATTCTCAATTCAGTTAACGTAAACCCTGAAGTAAAATGTTCAGTGACTGAGATTATCAACGATTGTATGTAACTGTACAGTCAGTGTAGCCATGAGTTCAGGTTGAATGTCTGTACTGTACTTTTTTCCATAATTCACAGACTATGAGTTCAACAATGTCACACATGCTCTGGTGACTTTTACAGTAATTATTTAGGATACAACATTTTTTTGTCATAACTCAAGTATTTTTTCTTCAGATTTTTAGATGATTTCCTTCAGAATTATTATTACCTGCCCTGAACACATATACATGGCGATATTCAGTTATAGTCATAGCGCCACCTACTGGCAACAGGAAGTGACATGGTTAACACTGTAATGCAGTACTAGCCACATACCAAAATATGCCATTGTGTGCTAAACATGCTAGAAACATACTAAACATGCTAGCAACACTTAGCTGAGTGATAAAGCACGCTATTATCACCATAATAAATGCATTTTTTTTTTTAACTGACTTTGACATACTCCTATATTTACCAACTTAAATGCACATTGCCCACTGTGCTCTGTCTTCCTAAAGCCACCGGGTGGCGGTGACACAGGTGCGAGGGCCCTTTCATCGCTGCTTGCAGCTTTAATTATTAATATTATTGGTAACACTTTACAATAAGGTTCATTAGCTAACATTAGTTAATTTATTAACTAACATGAAGTAACAATGAACAATACATTTGTTACAGTATTTATTAATCTTTGTTAATGTTAATTAATACAAATACAGCTGTTCATTGTTTGTTCATGTTAGTTCTCAGTGCATTAACTAATGTTAACAAATACAACCTTTGATTTTAATAACGTATTAGTAAATGTTGAAATTAATATCAACTAAGATTAATAAATGTTGAAGTAGTATTGTTCATTCCTAGTTCTTGTTAACAGGTAGTTAACTAAAACAATACACTGTAAAGTGTTACCATATTAATAGTATACCAACTAGCTAACTAGTAGCTAATAATAAACTATTAACGGCTGTCAACCCGTTACATTTTGCTAAATCAATTTGAAATGTTAATTAATTAATGAGATTTGATTACACTGTCTTGTATGTGATGGTTCAGACTGAGAGCTATATTAACAGGTGAAGAAAACCATTTTGTGAGGGAGAAAAACATAGGAGGTTGGCTCTAGAAGCAATGACAGATTACATACTCATCTAACATCATTCCTTGGTAGAGTATATTAACTTATTTTATCACTACTAGACCCAGTTTAGTACCATGCATCATAACTTCAATAAACCGTAATTATGTCTGTTAAGTGTTGCACAACAGTGACTGTTATTGTGAGACTATACTTTCAATTAAATTACATAATTCTGAATAATAATTTAAAAGTACGCACTTGATACAAGCTGTGTAGAACAGACACACCAACATAGTACCTAGAGAGCTACCGATTCTGTCAAAACAGGAAAAACATTGTCTGATGTCAGTTTACTCTTTCCTTTGAGAAAAGGTTCTCCTGAGACCACTCATGATACACTGTTAGTTAACTGTATCGTTTCACTATTCTCTAACTGCAGATCTCAATTTAGACATGAGAACACCTGCTGTCATATCAGTGTTTCCATTGTCTATTTTGTGCAAAACAACTAACAAAAAAAAAACCTCTTACTACTGTAACACTTTGTGGATTGGATATTTATGCCTACATTTTAGATTTACGCATTTAATTGCATATGAAAGTTCATGTTTGAAATACACAAATTACCAGATTTATATATTTATAATTAATAAATCCAGTTTTTTTTGGATCTCACATATTTTAATAACTCTGCTTGTTCCACAGCTAGTCATTTTAACCATGTTCATGCTTGTTGACTGATGATTGAATGTAATTGTTATCACAATGAACAGATGTGTGCAGATTAAGCCACTTGAATATATGGATTTTTAAAAATACGATTTGAATATAAATCAAATAGATGCAAATAGTTAAAGCCATGATTATTTTTGAGTGCATAAATCTTACCCATTTTTTACCCGTTTAATTTGACTGACAAATAATATGCATCATATTAGAGGTGCACTAGGTATACATTTCTTTATTCAAAATACACCCTCAATCCTACTTCCAAAATGTGTTTTTGTCTTAGCCTGATTCACTATGGTAAGCCCATCATAAGCGTTTAAATTTGAGACGTGATGCTTTTCGTGCGAAATTGCGTAAATACATCACTATCATGTGTCTTGTCCTATCATTAAAGGTTTCAGCTACTTTAAAACATGTGGGAGTGGAATAGGTTAGATATCACAACGAGTGAGAAAGGTTGACATTCAAATGTATCCCCAAAATATAAAATATGGTTACACACCATATACCACACACAGATGTTGATACACCTCATTATGAGGACATTCCATATGCGTAATAGGTTTTATACTGAGCTAATGACATTTTCTAGCCCCTTCACAGAAAACTTTAAGAATTTTTACATTTTCAGTAAAAAAAAATGTTTTAGTATGTTTGTTTAATATTTTGAATTACAAGGACATCAGCATGTCCTCAATGTAGGGGGCAAATGAATAAACCAACTGAATAAACTATTTTTTCCCCTACATGAATGCGACGTCACTCCATAATCCTCTAACCAAATATGTCTGTGCACTTCATGAGTCTCTTCCTTGGAACGAACACACACACACACAGGACATGTGCTTTTGGTTCTGTTATGATAATGTGTACTCTTGCCAGAAATGTTTGGGTTGAAAGAGGAAGCGAAGTGGATTTCCCGACCTCAGCGCATGTGGCGAGATGTGGTGGAAGAGAGTAAATCCTCAGTGGCCAACTTTAAACAATCCCATTTGGACTAGTCGTCCAACAACAGACCAGTTAATTAAGGAGTTTGAAATCTTTAGCAGTGGTGCTTTTAAAGAGATAGATAAAGATTGTCCAATAATTGATAGACTAACAGTCAGCAAAGAGGTTTGGTCTCTAAATTGTAATTCAAATCTAATCAATCTCATTTAAAGCAGCACCGCTATAGCCATCAGTGCTTGTGAACATCAAAACATTTCAAGACAACCACTGTAAGTCTTCAAATGTCCTGTGGTGAGCAATGCTCCTGTTATTATGCAGAATTCACAGGATTATTTGTGAGTTGTTGAGCTGAGATTAAAGGACCGTGTCGTGTCCGTCAGATGAATGATTTCAAAAAGGCTTAAACTGTTGGTCATCGTGAATTTGATGTTGCTCACCCACAATATTTCTAATCTGACAATTCAGACAGACGTCTTGCTCAGACAACCCACTGACAAAGGAAATTAAGCATCCCAGATCTTGATTTTTAGACCCAGATAACTGACTAAAAGTGCAAAGTGCATGATAAATTAAGTTGTCTCCCAAAAGAACGAATTTATTCTGAACTGCCTGAAACGAGTCGTCAGTAATTCCAGTCTTACTTCTTGCACAACACAACTTGGGTTTGTTACAAAACTGCATAATGCCAGCCTATGGTCTTCATTGGCCTGCGAACGGCGTCTACTTTAGCCCGCTCTCAAACACTGTAGTTGCAGCTGAGACCTGGAAGAGTTGGTTCATGTTTTTGATGTGCCCCAGTACTGAAAGACTACAAACGCCCCAGCAAATCCCAACGAAAATAATATTTGCATATTGTGATTATTCCAATAATCTACAGAGAGTCTTTGATGCGTTTTCATTGACTTGATCAGCGAGTCTTCAGCAAGAACTGACATCAGTTTACGCCAAAGCCTGTCGCCAGAAAAATATGTTCTTAAGAAAATTTGAGAACTTTCAATTTTGCATTAAAGGTGCTCTAAGCGATGTCATGTGTTTTTTAGGCCAAAACATTTTTGTCAAATACAGCAAACATCTCCTCACTATCCGCTGGCTGCCTGTCCCCTGAACACACTGTAAAGAAACGCGATCTCTGTAGACAGCCCATGCTTCACAAACAGCACCAAAAACAAACTGCAGCGACCCGCTCCCCAAAACATAACAAACTGTTCCAGCCAATGACCGACAAGAAGGGTTTGGGGGTGTGGTTTGGGGGGTTAGTGTGCGGATGAGGAGGAGGGAGGGTCTAGCTAGCCTCCGTTTTGTTTGACAATAGTTCGAACGTCAACAAGAAGTGACGTCACCCAGGATCGCTTAGAGAACCTTTAAGAAGCATTCAAATTGTGGTCACATTAGCGAAGTTTTGTAGGGGGAATTTTTTTTTTTTTTTTTCATTATCAATAGTGTAACGACGTATGAAGCACTGAGAGAGGTCACTTTCAAAACAAGCAATTTTCTGTTGATCAGCACGGCAAATTCACATGACCAACGTGGAAAGGAGAAGCTGGCTGTGGCAGGATTTTCACATCAGTGATCAGTGAAATGTGTGAAATGTGACAAATGTGCATAGGACTCGGAGATAAACACTACAGCGAAAAGACATCAGCTGCTGAAGTCCAGGGCAAAATTAATGACAAAGGGACTGAAACAAAAACACTGG